CCCCAAAACCCCAAAACCCCAAAACCCCAAAACCCCTTTTTATAAAATAAAATTGATGAGATAAAAATTACAAATCTTCATTAAGTCCAAACTTCTCCTTGTATACTGGAGAATTTGTAAGTAAGAAATTTCTGATTTCTTCATAGGTACCTTCACCCTCAAAAGTGATTCCCTTACTCTTGTCATCTTTTGTAAACAAGACAATGGAATTAGGCTTAGTGTTTTGGGCCATGGTTGGAGGATTCTTGTGCCAGTCGTATCTTGCAAGAACGAATTCATCACTCTTTCCTATTTCTTTGCTCAATTTTCCTAATTGTTGATGGAAAGATACTACTTTCCTGTCTTCCCTATTATCATAAAAATATACAACGACATCAGCATCTTCGTTAAGGACAACTTGATCATAGTTTTCATAATAGATATGGGTAGGATTTGTGACATCGTACCAAGCCTTTTCTTGATCATCATAATATCTACTCTCAACCGATCCTTTTTGGAATCTTGAGATAAATCTTTCAATATCTTCTGAAGTCAAAGTACTGGCGTCTCCTTTATAATCAAATCTCATCATTCCAAAGTGAATATCGAAGTGGACGATTGAAAGATGAGGAGACTCTTTATCTTTAATGTCTATGTATTCTCTTACTTCTTCTTGTTCTGGATTTTTGACATCAACCCAAGCATATAAAACTTTTGAGTCATCTGCTTTAGCAGTGTTACAGAAATTTTCAACTACTTTCGGATGAGCATCTGGATCTACAGCAAGAAAAGCTGCTGTTCTTTTACCTCTGAAGATATTTACCGAATCAATATCATTGAAATACATGCATTTAGCAATTCCTTGCAATCTGATGAATGTGAGAGCAGAAATTCTTCCAAATTCCCCTTCTAAGTGAACAACGGGTTCATCAAATTGTCTAAAAGCTAACAAAGTTGGAGCTCTAGCGTTGTATTTTTCAATTGCAGCAGGGTCGTCAGTGTGAACAAAATTCCGATGTTCATCAAATTTGGCAATCATATTGTAGGTTTTGAACTCTTTACTATCAATATCTCCAAAGAATGCATAAAATACATGTTCTGTTTGAGCCATTTCTTCAATTTGAGACAAATCTACTTTCAAAGATGAAACATTTTCTCCTGTCAGTGCCCACCCGATGACTGAATGATCTCTCATAGCTCCATCATATCTCTTAGGATTTCCCTGTTCAAACAGAATAAGAGTTGGGTATGACTCTGCATCATACTCTGTAGCAATCTCTTTATAAGTATCTGCATCTATCTTAGCACACTGGATACTCTTATCACTTTTCTTAAGGACTTTGCATGCTTTCTCGAACTTAGGTTCGAACCTTGTGCATTTTCCTCACCAAGGGGCGTAGAAGTCAATAAGAATGTTTGGATAATGACTCAAGACTTGCTTGAAGTTCTTATTATTAAGCACAATGACTCCATTCTCCTCTTGATTGAAAAGGTCAGCCCATGAAAATGCAAGGAGAAGGATCAGAATATAAATCTTCATATTTATTATTATGCAATCGGACACGTGTTTTTAGGGGTTTTGGGGTTTTGGGGTTTTGGGGTTTTGGGG